GGCGAAGCGGCGCCTGGTACCGTAGCCTGCGCACCGCAAAGTGCTGAGTCACCGGGCGGGCCGGAGTGTGGCGAGGCCGCTGCGGGGCTGGGGCTGGGCCTGGGCCTGGGCGGGGGATGCAAACAGCGGCGCGCCTGGGATTGAAGGAGGGAGGCAGGCCGCCTCCCAGGCTTCGGCCGCCCGCCCCGGGCCTGTGGACCATGTGGAACGGCGTCTGGAGTGGCGTGGCTTTTCCCAGCCCTCTCACTTTCTTGCTCCTGAGGGTCCTGGGAACACGCCTTGCGCAGCCTGAGGACGGATTGAGCTGATCCGGGGATGCGAGCGCAGCCCGGACGCCCTGGTAGCGTCGCATCCGTTATCCCTTGGGGCTTCCTTTCGGTCTTCGGTTTAGGTCGGAGGGTCTCCGTTTTTTTTCTTGTACAGCTTTAGAGTTCAGAATGTTTTATATTTTTAAAGAGTTGTGGAAAACGAGAATACGCAACAGAGACCGTATATGGCACGTAAGAGGAAAGTTTGCTGGTTCTGTTCTAGGTCATGGTCAGGCTGCAAGGGCAAAGCAGATGGCCTTGGACAAAGGTCTTTTCCGCCCTTCATAGCTCCAAAAGCCAGATTATTTGGCTCTCTAGTTAAGGATTTTTGGGTGGCAGTGATTCTGTACTCCGGGTAAACAGTAAACTCATTTTGAGATCCTTTAAAAAAAATGCAAATATCGGAGTCCAATCTCAGACCAGTTATGTCAGAATCTGTTGTGGTGTAGTCTGAGCATTGGTATTTAAAAAAAAAATTTGGAAGTGATTTTTAATGTGCACCTAAGTTTGGGAGCTGCTGCTGTTTGAGGACAGTGGGTGCGGTTTGGGATTTGGGCGTTTGGAGACCTGGAGTTTCCATGACATCAAACTGGCACCTAATTCCTATTCTTGAAGCATTCCTTCAACTACTTTTCTGTAAAGTGGCTTTAAAATTGCTCTGCCAGGACAAAAACAAACTTCTGGAGAAATCTCCTAAAGCATACTGAAGTCGTTTCAGAAATAATTGTCAGTAATGCAGAACAGTTTAGGTAGGCAGGTACGTATGGTAAGGCTTTTTCCAGGACCTTACCAACAGGAACATTGTTGTATTTGGCTGAATACTCAGAGTAAAGAGAGAATTTTTGCAGTAGGGCCTGTGCATTCCCAGGAGAGACAAAGGGAGAAATCATCCTCCGAGGCGGATGGCTTCATTGTAACCCTTCTCCATTCAGAGAACTTGGGCGTGCATGAGTTTTAGGCAGCTGGGTCTGGGACTTGAACTGCGGTGGAGTATGTGGGTGTCCAGTGAGTAATCATTATGCCATCTGCAGGTCCTGAGAGAATACTTAGTATATGAATGAGATTTTGTTTTTTAAAGGGATTAAGGAAATCAGAGGACAGGAACAGTGGGCTATGTAAGTGTCTGGAATATATGTGAAGGTGCACTCACTCAAGTAGTCTTTTCTTTAATTGCCCCGCCCCCCCATATTTTCTGGAAATCTTGCTTTGGCATTTGACGTAATTTTGCTGTGTTGCATTTGCCAAACATTGGTTTGCCTCCCTTTTCTCCTTTCCACATGAGGCACCAATACTAGGAAATCTAAGAAGCCTGTGATTTCTCAGTCCCTCTGCCCACTGAGAAATGTGAACACAAGCTGTGAGTTCATACATGAACCCAGGTTCTGGTCACTTTTCTACCTCCTCTGGTTAGCTTGCATAGTTAAGCTCCAGACTTCATTTTAGTGGTGTTCTTTGTAGTTGATAAAGACCCTTGGATAATTAGACATTACAGCTGTACAGAAAGGCAAATGTAATAAATTGGCCATAATCTGTATGTGTTTTGGCCTATCCAGTGTTTGAAGTTTTGGATTAGTTACCAATTTTAAAAACCTTTAAGTCCCAGTTTCCTAGCTTCTTTTGAAAAATTTGGAGATTTTGCTTCATTAACCCAGGAGAGTGCGGTGCCAGAGTGGTTTATATTCCTTTTTGCCTCACAGACTTTAACATTTTTAAAAATTTGCATAGATACATGTGCTGGCTGGTGAGAGAGAAAAAGTGGGAGAGCACGCCAATGATGGAATGACCATGCAGCAGTTTCTTTTCCATTCTCCTCTCACAATTTTGGGTATGCATGTACATGTGCCTGCTTCCACCTTAACCACCGTGCCACGGCCTGGAACAGCTTATTTTTGAAGAACTATTTGTATGTGCCATTTGCACTATCTGTTAAATGGTGGTTTGAAAAACATATTTTGTCTACACTCTGGATAATATGTTTCGGGAGACATTTGAGTTATTCCAGAATTAACGATTGTACTTAGAAGAACCGTAGTGTCTATTCTCAAAGAGAAAAGAAAAAGGCATTTGCCAGAATACTTCCCTTGAGCAGTGCTACTTTTTGGTGAAAGTCAAATTGTAATTGCTAATACCTCTTGTTCTTTTTTTTTTTTTTTTGCTCATACCTCTTGTAACTGTTAGCTCTGGCTAGTGAAAACCAAACTGCTTAAAAACAAACACCACATGAAGTCTATGTATATTTTTTGTTCCTAAGATCTCTTTGTAGCTGTAATACAGGTTGAACATTTCCTTTTTTTTTTTTTAATTTTTAGAGTTATTTATTTAAATTTATTTATTCATTCAAGTAATAATAAGACAGAGAGGTAGAGGGAGAAAGCCAGCCTCCAGGTCCGGGACTTGAAACGCAGTGAGCCATGTGGGAGTCCAGTGCATTAAATACCATGCCACCTGCTGGCCCAAGAGTGAGCATTTCTAATGTGAAAGTGTAAAGCTTTTTGAGTGCCAGCATGATGCCACAAGCAGAAAATTCCAGCCCCGAGACAAGTCACAACCAAAGCAAAATATTATATAAAATTACTTTCAGGCTATGTGTTTAGCCATGTATGTGTCATATACACATGAAACAAATGATTTTCTTGTTTAGACTTGGGTCTTATCTCCAAGATACCTCATTTTATTGGGTAATTGGAAAATCATGACTTATTTTGGCATAGAAAAACACCATCACTTTTCCTGATGTAAATATTTCCAAATCTGGAAAAAAATCCAAAATAACTGGAGTCATTCTCTTTGGATAAGTGGTGGTTAACCTGTAGTAACTTCCTTGATTTCCCTTAGTAGCCATGCAGCACTGTTATCATGCCTGTATGATGATATGACTTTGAGTGGCTTTTGTTTTTCTTTTTAATTTTTAAACCTTTTTTAAAAATTAAAATTATTTTTTTTTCGTGTTTTAATGTGCTTTTTGTTAAGGCTGAATAGTTATCTAGATTTCATTCTGCACAAAGGCTTCAGAAAACAGTGTACCTATGGTTAAGCTAGCCTTTCTTGCAGCTGCGAGGTGGGATAATTTCTGGATATGAATCAGAAATATCTATGACAGAACCTGATAAACACTGAGTGGCAGGTAGAGAGCAGGGGTCCTGGGGTAGTCATTTGGACATACCAGTGTGTCCTTTTTAGGCAAGTCTGTCTGTATGCTGTGTAGGAGAATATCTGCATGAAGAAAAAGCAAGGGCTAAAGAGAGTATGATGTGACACTTTTGGGGTTAAGATGTTTGGTATGTACTTACCATGCATACAGATACAACCTACCAAAACATGTTTATGAAATAAGTAGTCATTACATGTTGGCAAGTATATAAATCTGACATTTAGGTAGGTGCTGTTATTTAATCATGGTGCCTGAGCATTAAAATAAGATAACCTTTGATAGGGACACAGACCTAGAGTTAAGCATTTTGCTGGAAGTTTTACTGCTAAGAAAGTGGCTGGCATGGTATTTGGAGATAAGATTTGTTTTGGTTTTGTTTTTAAGTTTATTTCTTCTAAGAATGACATTGACAGATACATACCCCCGACAGGGTCTTCATCCTGCAGTCCACCTCTAGCCTCAGCCAGCCCAGATCATGGGGTGTGGTGCATGCATCTCATGTAGAGGGAGTCCCCAGGATGTGAACCGAGGACCTTCCCATGTAGGCCTGGTTGTGTTACTACTGTTCCACTGTTGAGCCCTGGACAGATTTTTTGACCCTCAAGTCCATGCTGTTTTCACTTTCCTGTGAATGGTAAAGGTAAATCAATTGGTTTCTTTGTTCAAAAGCACTGCTCTCTCAAACTTTGTGTACTTTTCTTTGAATAAAGGAGAATGGTCCAGTTTTGGTAACTGGACGCATCATGGGATTGACTGAAGGCCAGCATGGATTCCATGTCCATCAGTTCGGAGATAATACACAAGGTGAGTGTTGGGCTGGTTTACTGACCCATATCCAATTAACTTAGTAGGATGCACAACTGAGTAGAGTGACCCCTAAATGTTAAAAAACCCTCAGGAAAGGCCAGCAGGTCACATGAGGTTAAGGACTGGACTCCCACATGGCTGACTGTGGTTCAAGTTCTGAACTCAGTGGCTTGAATCTCATGCTAGGTGCATGTGCAGGCATGCTCAAGGTACCAGGAGAAGAAGGGATTGAGATGTGGCTATCCTTCCTGGGGGGGTGATTTTGTACTTTCTCTTTGTCTCTGGTGAGTTTATGTGCCTTATGGTAAAAACTTAAACAAACAAAACCCCTCAATATATATTTTTAAAAGATCAAGTTAAAATGACTACTAAGGTTGGGGCCAGCAACAGTGGTTAAGGCACTGGATTCCCACATGGCTGACCACACTTTGAGTCATGGGATCTGGAGGCTTGAGAATCATACCAGGCATTTGTGTATGCATGCCCAAAATCTCCAGAGAAGAAATTGCAGTGTGGCTGTCACCCTTGGGGGAATGGGGATTTATTTTTCGCTGTCTGTCTCTCTCTCTCTGGCTAGCACACGTGTCCTATGTCCAAAATAAAAAATTTTTACTAAGGTTGATCTTAAGGTCATTAGCCACAAAACTGATGGTCACCTCATAAGTGTGGAAAGGAAGCACTTTTTGGGGTGGCGGGGGGAGGTTTTTGCTATGGGGTGTGTGAGCTTGCCGGAAAGACAGACAGCGAGAAATCACGCCCCTGGGGGCATAGCCATGCTGCAGTCCCTTCTCCATTCTCCTCTCGGGATTTTGGGCACGCACACATGCCCGGCATGAGTTTAAGCCACCAGGTCTGGGACTTGAACCGCAGGAGACTACATGAGAGTCCAGCAACGTAGCCATTTCGCTATCCGCTGGTCCCCAGAAGGGTGTTTTTGTTTTTGTAATCATACTATGGCTTAATTCTATGAGGTAGATGCTGTAAACAGTGGAAACCTGCTATTGGCTGCTGAATAAAGCCAGCCATGTCATGAAAGTGGCTCCTGAACTGTCCTGGTTGTGTTCCATGTAAATGACATCTCTTAGGGCAGAGGTGTGGTTTAGGTAGGATATAGTTGGGATGCTGCCCCCTTGACATCAGGTACTGTTTAATATTCTGCTTGCACCAGGTAAAGGCCACAGACAGAAAAGCTGCTTGGCAGCGTGTTGCTAGGGAAATAGGTTTTTTTGTAGCTAAGGCACGCAACATCCTGAAAAACTAGGACCATGATCATGGGATTTTAACAATAGAAGAATGGTTGGAGATCAAGCCTTGACCCCTCTTTGCAGTGAAGAAGCCAAAACCCAGAGAAGGGTGTTTATTTACTAGGGTGACAGTAGTGAGAGCTTGTCTCTACTCCATGTTCAGTATTTATACCAAGGTGTTGCTTCCTGTTATTCCAGAAGTCATGAGGCAGGTCACTGCTTTCTTGTTGGGAGGTTTTAGCAATGATCAGCTTCTTGTAGAATTTGTTTTGGGATTTTGATTCATAGTTTAACTGTAGTATTTTTTGTTTTGTTAATAGGTTGTACCAGTGCTGGTCCTCACTTTAATCCTGAATCCAAAAAACATGGTGGGCCAAGTGATCAAGAGAGGTGAGCAACAAGATTCTCTCTCCTTACAATAAAGGTGTTGGGTTTTGGGGGTTGAGAAGGTATACTGCTTGCAGATTGCAAGCTAGGAGAACTGAGTGGTCTCCCCCCACAGCTGATTTTGAATTATTCTCTCTCATGCAGCCCACCTCTGCAAGGGCTGAAATAGCTTACTTCCTGGGCTGAGGAGTTGACAAATGGGGGACACTTAAAATGATTTGGTTTTGTAGCGTTTATTGAATACAGAACTAATACACGTGCCAGAGAATACAAGAAATGTCATGAATAACAGTACTGTCAACCACTAGCAAAATAAATCATGAGACAGGAAATTTCTATAGATAAAAATGATATTGAAAACTCATTGAGACTCCAATTCGTACGTGTATGCTTTCTGAAAGTCTTTAGTTTATTGTAACAGAGAACCAGGGGCATAGCTTTCTTACCTGTGCCAATAACAGGTATAACTCGGTAACTGAGTTTACCCTTTGGTAATTTGAAATTAGAGGTGAACCCCCATCCCCATGACTCTTCCCAGAGCATTACTTCATATACTGAAGCCTTGATTGAAGAGCTTTGTCCAGAATGTGTCTAGGTACTTGTTTTTAAATTTGTTTCTAAAACTGTCGATTTGGACAAGTGGATCTTCATTGAAATATACTGTATATATCTTTTATCTCACCTCTATGTGTTAAACTCAACTGCTAATTTAGCTCTTGAATTACCCTGCAGTTAAGTGGAAGTCAGTTCTAATCCATCTGATGCTGTTTCATTTTTAGGCATGTTGGAGACCTGGGCAATGTGATTGCAGGCAAAGATGGTGTGGCAGATGTGTCTATTGAAGATGTTGTGATCTCACTTTCAGGAGCTCATTCCATCATTGGCCGCACAATGGTGGTAAGTTTTCTTGTAATGAAGACATGCATAACATACATTTCTTCTAACTTATCTTTTCACATGTATCATTTCATAGCATGATTGATAGTCTTGGTTTCTGAAGATCCATCTAAATTAGTTTTAGTACATAGAAAAAGCAGTTATTTTACTGGGTACTTACATTGAAGATAAATTAGGTCAGTTAATAAAATTGTTCTGCTAGGGTGCAGTAAAAAGCAGATTACATTTGATCATACTTAGATATGAATTGGGGAAACAAATGCAGTCTTTAGTTTTAAAATGGGCAGATTTTCTTGCCATGATTATATTGTCCCCTTTAGTTAAGCAGAACGTTGTAAGAATGAAATCTGGGATGGATTCAGTGTGAATACTCATTCATGTCTGCAAGTTATCATCACTGTTTAACATGTGAGAAATGGTTGTCCCAAGGTAATCTGGAGATTCATGTCTGGTTCATGGAGAACACCAAGTATCGAGCTGTTGAAAAGGTCATGATGTATTTTTTCTGTGCAAAAATGTGTTATGACTTTTCCAACAACCCAATATAGTTCTTTAGCCTACCCCTGAAAGTAGTTAGCATGCTGTAGTTACTTCCTTTCAGAAATCCTTTATCCTTAGAATTTCCTTCCATCATAGCCATGAAACAGAAAAATAATTTTTTAAAATACTGTTGCTAGTTTTAGATCTTTAAGGATTTTACATATATACACACACACATATATATGTAACTTAAGCATGAAATTTAGAGTTTTAGGTTCACTTTCACTTTTCTTGTTTTCCCCCAAATGACTGAAACTAAGGTTACTGTAATTTATCATGGAGGAAAGAGTAAGACAGCATAGGTGGCCTTTAACAGTAGTTATTTTAGGTTTTTAGTATTTCATCTAGATAGTAACACTTACTTAATGGTTAAAGGTAGTATGTCTGCACCACCAAGGGAAAGTTTTGAGTATTAGTTTCTAAATTACTAAATTAAGTAGATTTCTCTACTAATAGGATTCTTTTAATATGTAATTTTCTAATAAATGGTTCTTCAGTTTTTTGGGTATTATTGGGAAGAGATGGGTAATTACTTGAAAGCCCAGTTACATATTCTTAAAAAATGTTTTAAAGGTCCATGAAAAAGCAGATGACTTGGGCAGAGGTGGAAATGAAGAAAGTACAAAGACAGGAAATGCTGGAAGTCGTTTGGCGTGTGGTGTAATTGGGATCGCCCAATAAACATTCCCTAGGACGTGATGGTTCGAGTCCGAGAAACTCATCTATTATCCTGCTAGCTGTAGAAATTTAACTTGATAAACATTAAACACTGTAACCTTAAAAGCGTAATTGTGTGACTTTTTTTTAACTGCTTTAAGTACCTGTAATGAGAACTTATTTATCATCACTTGGAAGATTTGTATAGTTTTATAAAACTCATTCAATTAAAATGTGTTTTAGTGATCTCTGTATTTTGCCAGACTTAATTACATACGGATATTAAACTTAGTTGTCTGAATTTCCTCAATTGTCATTCAAGCCTGTGAATAAACATGTCTGGCATGCACTTAACTTTGGGCCATTAAAATATGTGGACAAATTTTAAACTAGCTAACACTCATCTATACATAAAAATTTTCCTGCTTAGTCACATAGCATTTTGACTAATGATATAACTTTATTTTTAGAACTATAGATTATGATTTAAGAGCCCTTTCATAATTTTTAGAGACCTTGTAAAAGGCAAGTTAATAGCCTCAGCTAAGAATTATTTATCCACCTGCCAGAGTGGGACACATTCTACTTAAAAAGGAGACTGGCAGTCTGCTTTCAAATTAGCCCTTTTAAGTAGTACACTAGCATTAAAAGATGGAACCAGGAACCAAAGCAATATTTGATTGTGGGTTCTGGCTGTGTAAATATTATATAATTTACATACCCAGTGAAACCAGATTACTTAACCTGATTTTATTTATATATATATATATGTGTGTGTATATATATATATATATATACACACACACACCACACATATAGTGTGTGTATGTACATATGTACCCACACACACAACCTGTGAGATCATGCTAAGTGAAATGTTAACCTGATGTGTGACTATCTTGAGTTGCTTATTGGACTGAAAACAGGTATTTCTGATAGAGAAAAACAGAATAAGCTACCATCCTTTTCATTCAAATGCATCGTGTTCTTTACCAAACAAAAAATAACTTAGGAAAGAAAAGGCTAAATTGAAACAAGTTTAGTATTTCAAAGTTTTAAAAATTGTGATACAGGATATGCTCACATTAAGTGGTTGAAATGACTTTTTAGGTAGGTTGAGAATAAAAACAGTTTCTCACTAGTTTGTTGTATGTGTATGATAACTCAAAATACAGGGGCTTGCTTTTAAAGCCTCAAGTACAATCACACTACCAGTTAGTACTTTTTAATGTGCAAATAGGGTGGACTCAATATGTTACTTTTCAATTGAACATACAAGCTGTAAATCCACTAGACTGAATAGTCAAGTATATTTCTTCCCAGAGCTAGTTTCAATTAGGATAAAGAAAAGTTTTATAATTTGAATCCACAGATAGGAAATGGAATTTTTTCTGAAGGCGGGAATTACAAGAACATTGCCCAAGATACATTTTCTCCGTCAAAACAAAGATCTTGCTTCTGAACACTTTTAAAAACTAAAGTAACAAAGCAGCTTCACATGAGAATGAAGGCAAAGTTAAATGCTAGGCACCCTGAAACAAGGATGTTTAAAATTATTTGAGGAAAAAGAACAAGGCCATATTGGATCATGTAACATCAGGTCTTGGCACTGGGGAAGCAGTTTTATGTAACTGCTCTTCTGTACTTCAGATACAGGCTACAGTTGGCATGGGATGTCTTCGTGATAATTCTTATAACCTACAACTGTCTTTCTAGTTAATCCAACAATTTTAGACAAAAGAGAAAACAGTTTGTGTGTGGCAAAAAGTTTAGTCTACCTTTGCCCAACAGGGGAGTTAAAAAAAAAAAGGCAAAAGGCAAGGTTTACAGGAATAAGTAAGCATGTTAAGACAAAAAGCTTTTGGGTTGCAAATACTAACCTTTGTTTCTTTTACCCTCTGGAAAATTTAATGGGATGGTAAAAAAACACCCAACCTTCTAAGTAATACTCAGGCAATCACAGTTTAGTACAATTTGTAATGCTGGGATCCAATTTCTCCCCCAGCAAAACCTCTCTTTACAATTAGGGCAACATTTACCACAAAGCCAACTGAAAAAAAAAAAAAAAACCTTGACTGGATTGCAAACACTAACAAATTTCCCAATTAACATTAAAACCACTAACCTTTACCTATGATTGAGATGCTAAAAATCAAAAGTATTACAAATGAAAGTGAGAATAACTACATAAAATGTCTACTTCCATCAAATAAGTCTAATTTAGACTTTAGTACAGTTATCGACAACTCAAACTTTGATGGTGAACAATCCTTTTCCACCGTAATGCAGTGTAGGAAGAATAGCACACATTAAAGTTTGTTACGAAAATAGAGTTTATTAAAAACATCCCTATTGTTTTGAGGAGCTTTCACCGTTTACCTTGTCTTAAATTAAAAAAAAAAAAATAGAGAGCACTTCTAATTACGATTTGTAAACTTTTTAAAGTCAAAACTTTTAAAAAGTTACAGCAAAAAGGGTAATATTTATTCATATCTTCAGTATTTTTTGTTATTTTGTGGCTATTTTTAAATAGAAGGGAAGCAATCAAATTGCTTACAATTCCCCACCAACTACTGTGGGGCTGTGATCTAGCGGGAGCAGATATAATACAGCATCTGTACACCTCAAGCTCTACACGCCGGGAAGTGTCACTGTCACATTTTGATAAATTCCAGTCTCTAACGAGGAGCCTCTGCTGCTGGGCCAGAATCCTTCTCAGGTTCAACGGATGAGGTAGCCTCAGCAGGCAACTCTTCAGAAGGTTTTACGACTGCAGACTCAGTCTCCCCCTTATCAAGTTCTGAAACAGTGTCTACATTTCCCACTTGGCTAATGGGAGGTTCAGTGGTTTTGTTACCACCTGCCCTGTCTGTCACCTCAGGTTTTTCCTTTCCTCGGTTTTCTTCCTTCTCCCTACGAGACTCTCTATCTCTAGAATCTCTCTCTCTGTCTCGATGCCCACTAGAGCGTCTATTTCTCTCTTCCAAGTCTCTGTGCCTGTCCCGGTCAGGACTCCTTCTTCCCCACTCTCTCCTTTCACGATTACTATTATCTCTATCATCATTACGACTCCCATACCGTTCCCGGTCATTTTCCACCCTATTTCCGAAAGATCTTCTTCCAAACCTTTCTTGGTCTCTACCTGAATTGAACTGCTGCCTGTTATCATTTCTATACTGCTGTGGCTGCTGACTTGGTGGTGGCTGTTGTGATGGTGGCTGCTGCTGTGGCTGTGGTCGTGGTGTTGCTGCTGCTGCTGCTGCTGCTGCTGCTGCTGTGGCTGTTGCTGCCTTCCATCTCTATCTTCAGGACCCCCTGGGCCTGGCCCTGGGCCCCCAAGCCCTGGCATCCCACCAGGCCTAACGAAAGGGCCATGTGGTGGAAAGGGACCTTTCATTCCATGAGGTGGGGGCATTGCAAAGCCCCCTGGTCCTGGTGGTGGCCCTCTGTGCATCATGTGCGGTGGCATGGGACGGGGCGGCATCAAAGGAAACCGCTGTAAATGTTCATAAAGAAATGCACCCAATAGTCCCATCTGGTTAATAGTGATGCTGGACCTTGCCTTAAAAAAATACAGTATGTTCAGCCCTGGTACTTGGGGCTGTTTGTTACAACCATCAACCTATTCTGAACAATGAAAGGAAAGTAAATAGCATAGAAAATGGCATTCTATTTTAAGTGTTTTCTGTGGAAACTGACTCCTTAAACCAAAATGAAATTCAATGCAGAATCTCCAAGTCTTGGACAATTTACTAATTTGCCTGTCACAAACCCAATGAGGACCCAAAAACAAGGCAATCAATCTTAAAGACTCATTTTTGAAGTGTCTAATATATGGTAGGCAGAGGCCAAAATAACCTGGGAAAGAAAACTGTGACATAGTAGTTTTTGAAAAAAGTATGACAAAATCTTCTGTATCCAGTCTTCATTAGAAGCTGTTTTCATATTCCCAATACTTAAACCATTTGAAAAATACAATATGCTAAGTGCTACTGAGATGGACTGTATTTGCTATCAATAACTAAGCCATCTGAATATTTCAGACGTACTCTTATAAAACTTCACATTCTAAGTATTAATACAACCTATTACTAGAAACAAATGAGGTAATCACTAATCCAGATTCCATACTGTATACTTTATGCAATTATGCAAGTTATCATTAAAGCACTGTTTACAAAACAAAGATCCATACACAAATGTCAAATTTATATTCAATTCCTTTTCAAATAAAGCACAGTATGTACTTGTTAGGTCAATATGACTGCTGAATAATGCTGAATTTTTGGCCATTCACCTTCCATTCATTCTTCGAAAGGTCTTAAGAGTCATAAAGTTGGTGCTGTCAAGGGTTAACAGTGACTTATTTGCTTTGTTTCCCTGTTGACATGAAAGTTTGATCATTTTGGTGTAAGAGTCTTACAAGTTCAACAACCGATTTGTGATCACACCAGAAAGTAGAAAGGATTTCTGTTTTGATTTACTATTACATAACTGAAAGGCTTCAGAATCTCTCAATTTCTCTGTAAATATTCTGACCAAAAGGAGTTACTCTGGTAATAGTAGTATGATAAACAAGAATTTCTACTTCACATGTGGTCCAATATCGTATCACAGACTTAACCACATGGGTGGAATTGAAAATGTATACCCACCAGTTCACCTAGGAACACTCAGCAGCTTGGGTATTTTCTTGAAATACCTCTTTCTAGGGACCAGCAATTAGCGTAATGGCTATGTCACTGAACTCCCATGTAGTCGCCCACGGTTCAAGTCCTGGACCCGGTGACTAACGCCGGGCGCATGTGCGTGCATGCCCAAGATCCAGAGGAGAATGGAGAAGAGACTGTGGCGTGGTCATCCCCCCTGGAGGGTGATTTATCGCTCTCTATCTCTGTCTTTCTAGCAAGGGCATGCACCCTATAGCAAAAACCTCTCCCCAACCCCCAAAAAAGAAATACCTTTATCTAAATGCTTAAAGAAAAACATGCAAGGTCTTCGAAAAGTTCATGAGAAATGTGCATGATGAAGAAAACTGCATGCATGAATTTCAAAAAGATTTTGGACCAAAATAAACTTGTACTTTAAGTCCCTTTCCCCACAAAGTTTTCAGAGTCTCTCATGTGTATTTGGTGAAACAATCTTACCCAGGAGCAACTCTGGATATATGCCTGCCTGTTTTCGGGTTTATAAAATGGGCACAGAGTGGGGCAACAGGTAGCATGGTGGTCAAGGCACTGAACTCCCCAACATGGCCAACTGAGGTTTGAGTCCCAGAACCTGGTGGCTTGCTTTCTCATTCTTTGTCTCTGATGAATGCATGTGATCTATAGCAAATTAAAACATAATGAAGTCATATAATGCTTTAAAAAATAATAATTAGGCATGGTAATAATACCTGTCATTTGTTGAGATCATCTGGGATAAAACATGGAAGTGAGCTAGGATAACCACACAGTTTACAGTAATTTTCCTATATATCTATTTTGAAAGGCGATAAACATCCTAACACTAAATATCTGACTTTGTAAGCAGATTTTTCATTTCTGATAATTAAGACCTTAATTAATTCCCTCTTGTTCCCACAATATCTATTCACCATAGTTTTTAGTTAAGCACTTTGGTCTAAAGTTGAGAAATGCTAATTATCACAACAAAAAGCCAGAAACTGTGAAATGAATAAATGAGGTGACAACTCCAGCCCTTCACAGACTCCTTTTCTCACACCATCTATTGAATATTTACTGAGTTAATATCCATCACTAGGGCAACAAAAGCATCTAAGGCTCGTCCTTGCTCTCACTTTTTCCTAACATCTGTGCACCTTAAAAAAAAAAAAAAAGTAAAACGGGGGCCAGCAGGTGGCATAGTGGTTAAGGCATTGGACTCCCACACGGTCAACCTAAGTCCGAGTCCTGGACACAGTGACTTGAAATTCAACACAATGACTTGAAATTCAGGGTATGCAAAATCCTGAGAGGAAAGTAGAGGAGAAGGAATTGTGGTGTGGCAACCCTCCTGGGTGTTGGTTTCTTGCTTTCTGTCTCTCTATAGCAAAAAAAAAAAAAAAATCTTGGGGAACCAGCAGTTAGCGTAATGGCAATGTCACTGGATTCCCACGTAGTCGACCACGGTTCGTGTCCCAGACCTGGTGGCTTAGAATTCATGCTGGGCACGTGTGTGTGCGTGCCCAAGATCCCAAGAGGAGAATGGAGGAGAAGGGATTGCGGCGTGACCATCCCCCCGGGGGTGATTTCTCGCTTTCTGTCTCTATTTCTCTGTCTGTCTGGCGAGCGCACGCGCCATATAGCCAAAAAACCTCTCCAAAAAAAAAAAAAAATCTCAAAATGTACATACTCAGGTACAGCCTCTTTTAACAGAGGGATCATAACAAATCAAACTTTACTTTCCCATCAGCTTTTATTGGAAAGAGTTTTGTTTTTAAAGACTAAGATGACCAATGTTTATGCTTTTTAAAAACGGTTTATTTATTCATTTCCATTTGTTGTTATTTTTTAATTTGATCAGAGAGAGACAAAGGGAAAGCAAGAAAGCAAGTCGCCAGGTTCAGGACCTGAACCATGGTTGGCCATGTGGGAATCCAGCACCTTTAACCACCACTCCATCTGCTGGCCCACCAATGTTTATACTTCTATAAAGCAAAAAACGGCCTGCCCCCAGGCTTACAGGGTCAATACTGATTTTTTTTTTTTTGGAGAGATTTTCACTGTAGGGCGCGTGCGCTCGCCAGACAGACAGAGACATAGAGACAGAAAGCAAGAAATCACCCCCCAGGGGGGATGGTCACGCCGCAATCCCTTCTCCTCCATTCTCCTCTCGGGATCTTGGGCACGCACGCACACGCGCCTGACGTGAGTTTTAAGCCACCGGGTCCGGGACACGAACCGCGGTCGACTACGTGGGAGTCCAGCGACATAGCCATTACGCTAACTGTTGGTTCCCAATACTGAATTTTAAAACACTACAAGAAAAAGGTTTAAAAATGCCTTACTGTAACAAGAATAGGAAGTTCCCAAGAGTCTTCAAAAGGAAAGTGACACTTCAGGGCACTGGCAAAGTCCTATTCCTGACTTCTCCATGCTGACTTGGCTTCAGTGACCAAACTGATAGTGGCCAAAGGATACAAAAGACCCAACCTTGTACAAAAGACACAATGGGCAATGATTCTTTATAAAATGTTAACTTCAAGCTCTAGGACCACCTCTCAAGTCCTTCAAAGCACACATTTGCAGATGTATACAGATTGATTGCATAAGGTATTTTACACTAATCATATACTTAAAACTTCTATGAAGCATGCATGCATGTATATGTGTGTATATTTTTTTTTCTTAGTTTGCTATAGGGTACATTCACTTACTTGGAAAGAGGCAGAAAGGGGTACAGAAAGTGAGAAAGCATCCTCTATCCCAGGGAGGATAACCACGCACAATCCTTTCTCCTCTATTTTCATTTTGGAATTTGTGGCACACATGCACAGGTATCCAGCCCATTTTTAAAGCCACCAGGTCTAAAACTTGAACCACAAAGTTGGCCATGTGGGATCTAGCTGCCTTAACCACCATACCACTTTGGCTGACCCTAAAGCATATTTTTCTTTTAAGGTTTTTTGACCGTGCATGCAATCACCAGAGACATCCCTCCAAGGGAATGGCCATGCTGCAATCCCTTTTCCTTTCTCTTTTGGGATTTTGGGCACACATGCACACTTGGTCGGAGTGATTTTCAAGCCACTGGGTCCAGGACTTGAATCTTGATCAGCCATGTGAAACTCCAGCACCCTAACCACCATGCTACCTTGGCTGGCCCTAAAGCATAAGAGGTTTTTTTGCTATAGGGTGTGTGCACTTGTTGGAAAGGAAGAAAGAAATCATCCTCCTCCCATGGAGAGATGGCCACACTGCAATCCTTCCTCCATTCTCCTCTTAGGATTTTGGGCTTGCACGGACATACACCTGGTGTTGAATTTCAAGCTGCCGGGTACAGGATTTGAACCAGTTGGTCATGTGGGAGTTCAGTGCCTTAACCACTAGGTCACCAGGTAGTCCCAAATGCATGTATCTTTTTTTTCTTTTTTAGAGAGACTTTTGTTATAGGGTGCATGTTCTTGCTGGGGGAGACAGAGAGAAAGAAAGGGAGAAATCATCCCCGGGGAGGAATGGCCACATCGTAATCTTTTCTCCATTCTCCTCTTGGGGTCTTGGGCATGCATGCACATGTGCCCGGCATGAGTTTTAAACCACCGAGTACAGGACTCAAATCTCAGTCAACTATGGAGTGCAGTTACCTAACCATCATGCCATTTGCTGGTCCACCAAAGCGTACTTTTCATAAAGGAAAAAAACTGCCCAATTCATCTATTCCATACATGTGGATGTTTGCATTTGAAATTTTACATTCAAATTCCTTCCTTCCTTTGTAGAAAGAGAGTCAAACTGGATTTCAAGGTTTATGGACCAACAAAATTTTTGGACTTTCCTGATACTGTAAGAACCCAAAATGGCCTTAAGACCTCAAAAGTACATTATTAATTTTAAAAATTGTAGTTTTCTCATTTTGCAGTGAACATGTACTGTTTTCATAACAGAAGTTATATATATAATTACAAACATATCAGGTGGCAGAAGCCTTTGGTAGGCATGCTACTTAAACTTTATTAGAAAATCTTTATTAGGCATTATTTATATGCCAGCAGAATACATAGTGTGCTATCTAGTTGAAATGGGAATCAAAGTGGCCCAGCTTTGGTGATGCAGGCAGCAGTTTATCGGACAGTAGTGCTGGAAGCCACATGACCAATTGTGGGTTTGAACACACTGCCTGGGTGCATGCACATGTGTCCAAGATCCTGACAAGCTGGAGGGCTGGGGGAAGGGAACTGTAACATGATGAGACCCTGTGAAGGGTATGCCTTCCCTCTCTCACACATGCAATAACATGAGTAAGATAAACTTAAATAAAGCGGGGGAGAGGGGCATCCAAAGCAATTATTCATTATCTGGAAGATGATGTGTAAATATCATGAAAAGTTAGGGTTATAAATTTTTAAAAAATTTATTCACACATGTATTGAATATTTGAGTTTTACATTATTAACTCATTTAAATGGGCTGGGGACAGAAATGAAAGTCTTTTCCTTCAAAGGGGACTAGTCTAGGAGAAACATAATTCCAACTGCTACCGGAGACACAAAGTCTTGCTGGTATGGTGACATAATGGTAAAGCACAAACAGAATACACGAAGGCCAGTATGAGTGTTAAGAACACTTCCAGAATAGCAGCTTCCGAAAAGGCAAGGTTCAGAGAACTGCATGATTACATTCACTGAAAACTACAGAGAATAAAATCTAGATGAAATTATGAGACTGGAGAGAGAAGGGACCAGCAGTTGGCGTAATGGCTATGCTGCTGGACTCCCATGTGGTTTACTCAGGTTCGAGTCCCAGACCTGGTGGCTTAAACTCAAGCCAGGCACGTGTGTGTGCGTGCCCAAGATCCCGAGAGGAGAATGGAGAAGGGATTGCAGCATGACCATCCCCCCTGGGGGGTGATTTCTCACTTTCTGTCTCTCTGTCTCTTTCTGGTGAACGCACACGCCCTATAGCAAAAAGCTCTCCAAAAAAAAAAAAAATTATGAGGCCGGCGAGGTGGGACAGGGCAATTTGGAGGTTTTCTATGCCATAAGAACCAAGACTTTCGATCATGGGGGAACCACCAAGAGATCTGATCCCATGCTTGTTTACAAGGAGGCAGACAATAGTGGACAGTGAGGCTCTTTTATCAAGGATCTAGCAAACAGTGATGAGAACGAGTTGAAAGAGGTGCTACAGATGAGGAACAGACTGAAGACATTTGGTGAGGCGGGCTGACAGTTTCAGAGGTGAACAAACACAAATCTGTTGTTAATGAGTGGATGGAAGTGTCATGCAAAATTAGGAATTTAGAAAGAAAAGCAACTTCTGAAGACAGACAAATTTCACAGGATAGCACTGAGAAGCAGTGGGGTATGGGTGAACCTGGGTGGAAATATGCTTAAAAGATGATTAAGGGCATGCCCAGAGTCTTGGTGATAATGTACTGAGAATGGGGATAAAACAAAAAAAGAGAAGAGCTCAGATATGGGATAACATCACATTGATAGAAGACTTGGAAATTTGTTTCAAGTTAATTCATGAGCATGTGATTTAGAGACAGATAAACACAGGCACCCTTACAGGGTCTCATCATACCACAACCCTCTTTCCCCAGCACCTCAACTCAAGCTCTTAGGCAAGAGCTCAGCATCTTTTCAAGGTGACATGGGGATCCAAACCCATGGTTGGTTGCATGGCTTCTAGCACTTCAGTTCAGCATGCTATACCTGTGCCACTGAACCGTGGCTGAAGACTTAGAAATTTCTATTATTCTAAGGCTTTTTTTTTTTTTTTTAAAGACAGGCTTTTCCTATAGAGTGTATTTGTTGTAGTGAAAAAGACAAAATGAGAAATTATTCCCCACAGAGGATGGCCATGCCACAATCCCTTCTCCTTCATTATCCTCCTGGGATCATGGGCATGCACACACATGCACCTGTTGTATATCAAGCCTCTGGGTCCAGGACTCAAATTGTGGTTGGCCATGTAGGAGTCCAGCAATGCAACCATTATGCCTTCTGCTGGTACCTACTGTAAGGTTTCAAGAGCAGATCAAAAAAGTTACAGCTCCAAATGTCTGGGTCAAATTTGAGAAATATATGAAAAACACTGAGTTTGACTCAAAATAACCAACCAAACAAAACTGGCTATTTCCTACAATGATCCAAAGTCCAGTTGTTTCACAATTTAAAAAAAAGGGAAACACCACTGTAATCTACAGCAAAGACATTTGGTACTGTGTGAAATAAAGAATGAATACATTAAAGGGCTACCAAGAGAGTGGAGACGGGGGAAATATTTATCTGATGATTAGAATCTCATGTGAACCTTGAAATCTCAGGAGACTGTTGTACATAAGTAGGGCAGCTTTAGGCCAACAACCAGAGTTAACGTTGTCAAGGAAACAGGGTAAAATGCAAACTAGGAAGGGTCTATTTTAAATACTATAGGTGTGATCAACTTCATCACTTAGTTGGATGATTTCATAGAGAATGTGAAATTTAAGTGGATCTTTACATAAAAGCAGAGATTCACTATGTGAAAAAGCTGAGGGTAGAGGGCAGAGAAAGGAAAAGCAGAGGAAACATCTAAGAAGGCAAGGAGTCAGTTTCCCTGCCTCCTCTGGGCTAATGACCTCATCTTCCATCTAACCACAGTTACTGCCTACGAGGTCATTGTGTCACCAAGATAACTTAATTACTTCCAAATTCTCAATTTTAAGTACTCTACTTTTTGACACCCCTTCCTCCCCCCACCCGTCCCCCTCTCTTTCCAGGTCATTCCTCTTTGGAACTCCCTTCCCCAAATAATCTTCAATAGCACCAACCTCATGTCCGCAATGCTCTTCATGTTTTTAAGTTTCCTCCTTACCTGCATTGGAATCCGTGGTTCTCTGGAAACACCCCAACTTTGGTTTCATGTGTAATTCTTCCATGTACTATGACCTGAACAAGGCTGAGGGCCACCCCATCCCCTGGAATGCTGACTGCTCTCATGTACATTTTTACAACTATAATCACAAGCACACCCTTAATTCTTGCCAGCAATCTTACATTTTCCTTGTCAATTCGCTGATTTCTTTCATCTATTTCACATGTTCATATTTCTTTCTCTTCTGTCTACTCTTAGCTCCTTTTGTTTCACAGCAACCTTATTTAAGATAACATTCACACAGTTTGTACATCACTCACATGAAGTGAGGAAAAATCAGTACTCAATAATTATTTTCAGTAATTTACAGAAATGGGCAACCACCTCAATCTGCTTTAGAACATTTTCACAACCCCAGAAAGAAGCCCCACATCCATTAGACATTACTTGCCATTGCCTCCACACACCTTCCCCTCACCCTCTCCACCCCAGGCAACCACATTTTCCGTCTCTACGGACCTGTCTATTCTCAAAACTTCATATAAATGAAATCATACAATATGCAGTCCTTTGTCGCTTCTTTCACTTCATAGATCTTTTCAAGATTCATCCATGTTGTAGCATGTGTAAATACTTTATATTACCAAGAAATATTCCATTATATGAATATATTTTATTTATCCTACTTGAACCTTTTTTTAAGGCCTTTAGGAAAAGGTTTGTTCATCTACCATCTACCACCAACCAACCAATCTGCCTTCATCAGTTTCTGTATTACTCCCATCTGTCTATGATCCTCTGTGTTCCCAAGGCGAATAAGCCCTTTATGAATCCAGCCCTTCTCAACTATGTCTCAACCAAGCATATATTCCCTTCCTTGCACCAAAAATTTCCCCTCTACTGGATATTCCAGTATGTTGTAGTTTTGTCCATACATAAATAGTAAATTCCTTCACCTTGCATCTCCTATCACTCATCACCCATGTTACTGTTCCTCTATTATAAGGAGTGTGGGGAATGTTCTAAAAGTTCATGGAAAATGTGTATTATAAAAAACTATGCAAAGATTTCAGTTTTTTTGGGTACCAAAATAAACTCGCACTTTAATTCCATTTTTCTGTAAACTTTTTAAAGTACTCTTGTAGCAAATCTCTTCAGAGATGTTCAAAATCCTTACTGTATCATTTTTTCCCCAAATTCCATTCTCTCTTGACTATTAGTTTTTGAACCCATCATTCCAATGAAACCATTTTCCTCAAGGTCACCAGGTGCCTTCATTTTGCTAAATCTAGTTAGCAAGTCTCAGTGCTTTCTTGATCTTATCAATATCCTTCCCTCCTAGGAATTCTCTTTACCTAGCTTCCAGAATATTCCTTCTATTCGGTATCCTAGCCCACTGGCTGCACCTCAGTATTCCCTGCTAGACAGAAGAGAATAGGTCAGTGGCTGAAGCATGAGCTCTCACTGGAATAAGGAAGGCTATGTTGAATTCTAGCTCAGTCATTTGTAGCTGCGTGACCCAGGAAAAGTTACTTCATCTCCAAATGCTTCTGTTTCCCCATCTAAAATGGGGACAAGCTCATGTGGGATGCAAAGCCTAAATGACAAATACATACAATCTACTTAGAAGAATTCTTGGCACTTAGAAGTACATGTGCCTTAGCTCTCTCAGTATCATATTCTCAATTGCATAAAACTGAAGAATTCTTGGGCTTGGCCCTCTCACTATTATTTACTCTTTCTCTCTAGATTATCCTAGAGTTTCCCATGACTTTAACCATTATTTTTATCTGCTAATGACACCAGAATTGATATCTCTAGACTTTATCCAGTTGTTCACTTGATATATGTGCTTGGGAACCAAAGTTAAAAATCTCCCAAACCCACTCCTACAGATTTCTGCATTTTAAGGATGGCGATAACATTCTATCACTTTCTCAGGTAAACAATTGAAGTCATCCTTGACTCCTCTCACATTCCACATTTAAGCAATAAGACAATTCTGAAAGCTCTAGCTTCAAAATATATCCAGCTTATAGCCCCTTAGCAACTACACTGTACCAACCCAATGTGAGATCTGCTATAAACAGCATCCAAGCTGGTCTCCCCTTTCCAGTCTTATGAACTTCTACATACGGCCTGTCTCCTACAGGACAGTCACTATAACCCTTTAGAAAACACAGACCAGATCATGACACTGTTTTAAATCCTGCATCACTTCCCACTCCACTCATACCCTGGACCTTTGGTGACCTTCTCTGAATGTATCCCGTCACTCTATTCTCTTTGTTCGCCCTGCTCTAGCCACCCTTCCCTGGTGGTCTCTCAAATAGGCCAAGTTCCCACCTCTCTCAATCAGGTCGCCTTCCTTTGGTTTTCCCTTGACCTGAAATGCCTTTCCTCTGATTTGCATAGTTTACTCTCTACTCAGAGTGTTCTCTCCATGTTACCTCCCCTCAGATGCCTTTCCTGGTATCCGATTTAAAGCAGCACATCCCATGTAACATCTTCAAATTCCCAATCATGCTCTGGTTTATTCTCTTCATCAGAACATCACCACTTTAAATTACTAGTTAACTTAATACCAAAGTCTCTACTAGAATATAAACTCCAGGACAGGTTTTGTTCTGTTCATTCGAATCTCACAGTGCCTAAAAGACTGCTTGGCACACACTGGTACTGGATATATACCAAATGTTTGATTGGTTGCAGAGGTGATGATCAAACTTATCAAGAAGAAGACCCTCTCAGGAATAGGAGCAGAGGCTACCAGGTCCAGGTCTCTCCTCCAGGACAATACAAATCTAGGAGGACCTGAACTTCATAAAAGACTCCATTTTTCTTTCAATCTAATTTCTGTTTCTAATTACAGCTCTATGTTTTTTGAATAAATCCCAAAATAATGAATGTCAGCATAGAATTTTGCATGAATCTTAAATAAAAATTTCCCACAAGATCAAAACATACATTACAACTCTTATCTCTTCCACCAAAACACAAGGTCACATGTACAAGGGGTTTTCAAAAAGCTCATGGAAAATACATATTACAAAATAAATGTATCTCAACATTTTTTGCACTAAAATTAAACTCATTTCAATTCCACTTTATCACATACTTAAAAAAAAAAGCTTACTATAGGGAGTGTGCACATACAGGGGAGAGACACTGAGAGATGGAAAGAGGGAAGGTGAGAAATTACAATCCAGAGGTAACGGCTACACTGCAATCCTTTCTCCATTCTCCTCTGGGAACAAGCAGCTTATACACACAAGCACCCGGCATGTTTTTCAAACAGCTGGGTCCACAATTGTGCAGTTGGCCAGTGGGATTCAGTCTCTTAACCACCATGCCACAAACTTTTTGAAGTAGCCTCATATAATATGTATTCTTTAAATCAGCGAAAGTGTTTTCCCTTTTTGATTTCAGACCTTGGAATACTGATGTAACAGACACATACATTTCCTTTGCCTAAATTCACCAAATAACAACTAGGCATATTTATTCTGAAAATATTCCCAGGGGACTCTTAAGGTAGACACTGTGCTCGGAAAGCTGATTTACAAAGAAAGAGAAAATACATTTGAGACAGCATTATACAGTAAGACTATATTAAGAAGTCAAACAGAATGTTAGCAAGAAATCTTTAAGGGAAACTTCTTTTCATAATATACAATTCAGGTATACTGAGATGTGTCTTGTTCATTTTTAACATATATTTTAGCATTCTTTTACTTATTTATTTGTTGTGATTTCCAAGCTGCCAGTTCTAGGATTTGAATGGCAGTCAGCCACGTGGGAATCCAGCACCTTAACCACCATGCCATCTGCTAGTTCCTATTTTATCACTTTTAAAGTATTTTTATATACCATCTAATACATGGAATATGTCATTACAAATGGAATCAGAGACTGATTATCTTTCAAAAGGACTTTTTTGGGTAAAATAATGTATGGTAGACTCTGTATAGTGTATTTCCCTAGAGAGCATTTGTATTTGCTTTTCAGAATATGTCTCTATACGAATTGCTACATATTTTATTATAACTGGCACCGTATAATAGCTATGACTTAAAGTTAAGAATTTCACTACTAAAGTCATTAAGACTGAAATACAGTTAACCTTCTATAAGGAAATGAGATTATATGCCTTTTTATTTTGAATGTCAGCTGGAAAACAAAAACAAAATCTTACCTGAATTTCTTCACAGAAAACCAAACTAGAGCCAAAAGGTTCTGCCCCTCCCACCTTCTTCATTAGTCCAAGAGACTTAAATTTAAGATACTCTTTAGGCTGGCCTTCTACAACAACCTAGAAGTGGCCCAGGAAGACACGGAAATAATGTGCTAAGCACTTTGAGGTTTCTGATCACGACTTTTTCCATGTTTTGTTTGAAGTGCTTCACCTTCTAGGAAAATACAGCACATTCACCCATAAATTCATAAATTCATTCAAGGTAAATGCTCACAGTGGATCATTAATTTAATTTTCCACCAAACAATGTTAGATACTACACTGAAAGCACTGTAATGTGTATATAAAAACCATTTCAACTCTGTAACACTAGTGGAATGCCATAACACTATCTTTGTAGAATCTTAATTCAAATATTTTAGAGCTTTAAAATAATACTTTTACAGGATAAAGCCAACAGGCTTAATAAATAAAATATCTAGTATTCTCTCTAGCTTAGAATTTAAAGTAATCAAAGAGTAAAGCCAAAAATAAGAAAAAAATTCAAAATGCAAAAATTGTTCTAAAAACACAGGTATTGGACTAGTCAGGTAGTGTGATGACTAAGGCACTGTATGTCACATGGCCAACTGTGTGGTTTAAGTCCCGGACCTGGCAGCTTGAAAAACAGGCCAGGTGTGTGTGTGTACATGTGCCCAAAAATCCCAAGAGGAAAACGGAGAAGGGACTATAGGATGGAATATCCTCCATTCCTCACCACCCTCCAGTGAACACATGAGCAAAAAAAAAAAAAAAAAAAAAGGGGGGGGGGGGGAGGGGGAGGTGCTTGCCAAGAAAGAGAGACAGAATGTTGAGAAATCACCCCCAAGGGCGGATGGCCATGCCACAATCCCTTCTCCTCCATTCTCCTCTGGGGATCTTGGGCATGCACGCACATGTACTCAGTTTAAGCTGCAGAGTGCCGGTCCAGGACTCAAACTGGTTGACTACATAAGAGTCCAGTGACATAGCCATTATGCCAACTGCTGCTCCCTATAGCAAAAACTTTAAAAAACAAGATGTATATGATTAAGGTTTTTTTGTTTTAAGAAGTTTCTGCCTTAGGGCGTATGCATTTGCCAGTGAGAAGGAAAGAGAAATCACAGGGGGTGGGGGTGGGGTGGCCACACCACAGTCCTCCTCTCTCCTCCATCCTTCTTCCAGGATCTTGGACATGCATGCACACATGCCTGGTGGGAGTTTCAAACCACCGGGTCCTGGATTTGAACCGTAGTCGGCCATATGGGAGTCCAGCATAATCATTATGCCCTCTGCTGACCCGTAATTAGTATTTTTTTAAAACTCTATTTCCTAGAATTTTCTTCAGGTTTCCAATATTAGTGACTAGTTGGTGCATTACTAGTAGATTGGCACTTAAGTGTTCTAATTTATATGTGAAAAATTACTAGATTAAAAAAAAAAAAAAAAAAAAAAAACAGT